GTACCCTGATTACATGCAGTAAATTAATAACCAGTGATCATGTGACTGTTCATCAGTGAATAGCCCTTTTTGCTCTGTGTGCTCCTCGTCTATCTGGATCTTGTTGAAGTTTTTTTTTTTTCTCTTTATACAGTTTAGGGAACAGTTTTTATTAAAGCAATACCACCTTAAATCAGCACTTCAACACATTTGCATTCAAAGTGCAAAGTTATATTAAAGTAAAAAAATGTTTAAGCTATTTTAAATGCTGAAGAAATGGCTTACAATGGAAGCCGCTCCTTGATGATTAAAAGTTTGTTTCCTGCATAATCAGCTAGGTTCCTCAGCACTGTCTCTGATGTCCTGTTTTAGGGTTGCTCCTTTCCCAGGGTTCTTTTTACAGGGTTCCATGGAGCCACCCTTGTGTGTGCTCCATGGAACCTCTTCTCCCTCCTGTTCCTTGCACCTCCTTCCTCCATTCTTTCTTTCTACTGCAGGCTAGTTGATGGACAGCTCCCGGGGACTGCTCGATGCTTTGTGTTCTTGTACTGTACAAAAAGTTCAGGGAAGCCGAGTTGAGAGAGTTGGTGCCATCTGTTCAAAAAACTGGTGACTGTAGTTGCATGGGCACATGTAAATAAAATATTTTGCTGGGCAATATATATTTGCATTCAGTGTCACTCTCCAGCTACAGAAGCTGATGAAGCCGATCTCTGCTTCATCAGCTTCTCTGGGGGTCCCTAGGTGACATTAGGGGTCTTGGAGACCCCTGATGTGTCCATAAAGAGGACCTGTCATGTAAATTAGCTATCACATAGGGGGCTTCTTAGCCCCCCATGTAATAGCAATAAAGTTGTGTGTAAAAAAAACAAAAAACAGTAATACAAAAATTAAAGAATCATAAAAGAAAATTAGAAAACAATTTTTTTAAGTCACCGCCCCCCACATACACATGCAGATATGCGTCGGGTGTGCCTACGTGCGAAAACAATGATTGCGCTTATTGTGCCGCACATGTTACATATCGCCGCAAACGGAGTGAGAGCAATAATGTTAGGGCCATTAATCACTGATAACACTAAACTGATGAGCAGTTTTAAGTGTCGCCTATGGGTCTATGGGCGTTTTTTGCGATTTTGTGGCCGCGCGCAATTTTAAGGCTTGACATGTTTGGTGTCTATTTACCCGACGTGATCCCGACTTTTATGTTTTACCAAAAATATGGGTAAGAATAAATGTTTTATAAAAGAACGTAGGGAAACTTTTTTTTTGTTTTACATTTACGGTACTTTTTTCATTATAGAGTAAAAAAAATAACCCCCCTTTCCCCCCCGTGGTGATTGTATACCTCCAAAAGAAAGCTCTATCTGTCCCCAAAAAATGTTAACATAAATTGCAAGGCTATAGTCCGGTCATGCTGACTGGTGACATTTTTGACTGACTGGTGAGACACCCTAACATTTTTCAAGCCCTGTATATATTTGTTTAATCTGGATTCATTATTGAAGAAAAGGTTGCTAGTGTAATGCTATTTTCAGCTGGCCATACATATATTTCAGTCTTACAGTTTTAAGAAAAGAGCAGTTAAAAGGGTAAGCAGAAGTTTGTAAATATTCCTTTAGTTATGCTATGTGAATGGGAACAGGTTATCCCTACCGTACTTGGATGTAAACGTAGTAATGCTTTTGAAGGATGTATGACCGTAGATTTTAGCCTGTGAAGCCTAAAATCCAGCTTTCAAAACTAGTAAACGTGGTCACAATTTTTTTTTTTTTTTTTAGTTTTATACAAATACAGCTTTCTCTGACGTTTATAAGAGGTGGAACCCAGGTGTTGTGGGCGACCACCAGCAGTAAAATTATCCATTTTATTAATTTAATTTTTCAACCGACTTCTTACATGCATAGCAGTTACAGCTTTTTGTCACCAAGCTGAATACCTTTAATGTGTTTCTTGACTTAAAAACAGAACTGTACTGTATATTGCAGCTTACCATCCCTCAAGCTAGGTACACATGGTTGGTTGGTTCTCTCAAAATTTAGGATGGATTCCACCATCTACTCTGAAGAGCATGAATGAATGAACCTCCTGCTGTGTATATTGTATTCTGACAGCGATGATGGCTGCTGTCAGAATACCCGAAACAATGCTTGTAGCTAAGCTAATGGGCTGTAAGCACCGTTCAGCGATTTCCAACATGCTCCTTTGGCAAAGGTCAATCTAATGATTAGCTTCTGTTGAGGAGATAGGGTCACTTAAGGATTGAATTTCTGCTGAATGTGATGTGGTGGCTTTATTCATTTTCTGCTTATAGGCTTTTTTTGCATGTATTTTTTAACCTGGCGATCCTGACACATTACACTTCCTGTTCTAGGGTGACACCACACATTCTGAGCAATGTAGGAGGATCTGTGTTGTCTTCTGAGGACAGGACTACAGAACACCTCTTCTCTGTAACAGGGCAGGTATCCTATAGTGCATAGAAAGAACTTTAAACAATGGATAACAGTCAGCACAGGCAGGGGACATGGTTATCAGCCCACAAGATTTCTGGCAGGATCAACAGGTTTTTTTTTTTTTCTTCTTCTTGACAACTAACAAAATTGTTTTCAGTAGTTTATCTAAGGGAGCAAATAAGAGAAGTTCATTTTTGGGGTTTACATACACTTTACATTTGTCTTCATTAGGCCGGCTTTCTTTGTAATCTAACTAGAAGCAGAGGTTTCTTGTTATATAAATACTCTTTCATGCTCCTAAATGTAGTGTATAACCAAGAATGCCGTTTGTTTTTCCTGCAGTCCTATGCTGGGAAATATGTTCCTGCAATCGGCTATTACATCCACATTCACAATCCAACCGCTAAGGTTAAAATCAACTTCAAGGGGATTGCCATCGGAGACGGACTCTGTGATCCTGAAGGGGTAGGACATTTTAATTCAATTTTCCTTCTGATCCTTTTGATCTACAAATGGAGGTGGAATTCCTTTCTCCCCTTGCACAATGTTTTGATAAAGCATGCACGTTCCCATAAGACTTTGTAGTGTGTCGTTAACAAATGCTTCAGATTGTAAGTCCGTTTGTACGTTTGTGTATCAAGTTCAGGCTAGAAAGGGTTTAGCATCGCTGATTGCCTTAACTGATTAGGATTAAACACAAACCACACTTAAATCAGGCCGGGGAAATACGGTAGGTTATGCTAATCATTATTATGTGTATGTTGCACAGATGTTGGGTGGCTATGCTGACTTCCTGTACCAGACTGGCATGGTGGATGAAAACCAGAAGGATTATGTCCAGAAGCAAACTGACATGGCAATAAGCTACATCAAACAGCAGAAGTGGATTGACGCTTTTGACGTAGGTCTTGGATTCTGTTGCTATAGTCTGTCTGATTTTATTGAGGCAGTGTATAAAGAACAATAACCAACTGCAATCATTTTTTTTTCTCAGGTCTTTAAGCTGAAGTATAATCTGTTTATAATTTGCTTTCCCTGTTCACCCCAATCAACATGCTAAAAAAAATGTTTAATATCCCAGGTAATTTTGGGAATATTGAATTATCCCCTCCATTCTGCGCCCACACCCCTGCTGTACTTGCCTTTGATCGAATTCTCCTTCCCCTCAGCCCGTGTCTGTGTACTACCCATGCTCTGTACACAGCAGCGCACCCTGTATTTTAAATTTCGCTCACAAATGGCATGCACTCATTAGTCCAGTCACCTGACCACAATGCCCAAGAAGTGGGGAAAGTGGAGTTACCCTTTAAATAAAACCCTTCCGTCTTCATTACATTTTTATATTCGACTGAGTGACATCACCACTTTGTACTTCTGTTTTCAATGCAGGCAAATCTTGGCTGATGTGAGGGGCCAGCAGGGTGCTGTATATAGCATTCTGAAAACATTCTGAAAACATCACAGCATCCTGCCTCGGTACTCCTTTTAAGAGCCTTCAACCTTTATGCATGCAGTGGCTCATGCAAGGAGTTATGCAAATATCAAAATGTCATCATGTGCGGGTGTCCTTCTGGAGCAGCGGGCATTTCTAGGCAGGCTGTCCTGGTACATCTAAAGAGTCCTCAGCACTATTGCAAGCTGTGGGCTGACTCTTCATAACATTAAAATGCTATGATGGGTGGATGTCAGTCCAGGGTAGTGCATTTGCACTCCGTCTAGGAATACAAATTCCTAGACGGAGTGTCCGTGTGATGCTGAACCTCCAAGATTGCAAGAACTAAAGGAGCGTGCCAGGGACTGTTAGGCTGGGGCTGACAGGGCTAGATGATTCTGGACTAACCCCCCAGTCCTGGGCTCTATTTGACTTGCTGCAGCTTCCACTGGATAGTATGAGAATCTCAGTTTGCAGTGAAATCAGTTAAGCTTAAATCTAATAGTTACTGCACTTTACCTATCAGTGCTGCCCTCTGCACTGCCTAATGAAGTAGGCCTGATACTTGAATAGTCAAACCAGCCTTCTCATAAACCCATGCATTCTCTTTCTGTGTATACAATCCCATGTTCTGCATTCTTTTTCTGTTTGTTTTGGCATTTGGTCACTGTGTTTGCTTTACGGAGATGTTTACATAACTCACTCTTTCCTGAACTGTTTTCTTGTTGGCGAGTAAATACTTTAATTTTTCTACATCTGTCTGGTCTAGAAGGAAGGAAAGTGAATAACATTTAAAGTTGGCTTATTTTCATTATACAATGTGATCCAGCCTGAGGTTAGGGGCTGCTAGGTGGAGATGGCTATAGTGAGGGAGATGGTAAAACAGGGGCTTTAACTTATACTGGTCATTGGACGAATTTCAGCCGATGCAGCATTTACCTAGTGTGTGACCCCGTCAGGACCCCCATTAAAAAAGAAAAGTAGATTTTTCAGAGTTCTGTCGAAGTATCCGGGCCAAAAAAATCTCTTCCGAACACTGGCTGCAGTAACTTTTCAGTAATTCTTACGCCGGAGACCCCCAATCACTGTCATAATATAATGGTATAATGGACAGGCAGAGGGATTCCCCCCATCTATGCAAACTGCAAAGATGAATCAAAAGCTTTCAGACTGCTGGCTGAAAGAGAATAAATCTATAAGTGTATGGGCAGCTTGAGTAAGGGTATGTGCACACAACACAGGTCTCTCCAAGCGCCATGTTTAAAGTATGTTTTTAAAGTGAACCCGTCAGTCATTTTAGACAGTTTGAAAAATGAAAGTGCTTAATAGCAAGCACTACAAAGTGCCTCGCCTGATACCGTTGTTTGCCAGAAAAGCCTCACTTTTGAACCCCTCTAAGTCCTGGTGTAACCTTGTTGTTAAAGCCACAACTTAATTAATTTGGCAAGTGAAATTACCTGCTCCAGGCAATTTTATTTTGTTCCTCTTTTCAGATAAAGCAGAGGGTTTCAAGCAAATATGTGGGTAGCCTGGTATTATGATTTATCTAGAGGTGTGTATATATATATATACTCATAGGATTTTATGCTTGGTGTTTTTTCTTTAGGTGTTTGATTCATTGCTGAACGGTGACAGGACCTCTTACCCTTCATTCTTCCAAAATGTGACCGGTTGCAACAATTATTTCAATTTTCTCCAATGTCAGGTAAAAAGTGTTCAGATTGTTTGACGTTTATGTGCACACAACTTAACCCTCTGTATCCCAACAGTTTGAAAATTATCTGATGTAAACTTTCTGCATGCTGGAAATTCCTTGGTCGTGAGGCATTTCAAATAGTTTGGTTGTTGCTGGACAGATTACCCGAAGAACATATGTATATATTTTTGTGTATAATTAGAAAAAATGTGAAACAAATGATGGTGTTCATGTAAGTATCCTTGTGTCTACCTTAAATGGGCGCTGAAATAGCCAATGGATGGCACTGCATTAAGGCTAGGTTCACACCATTTTCTGGACCAGATCTGGGATGCAGTGCATCGCGTTTGTGCCGTGTTTTTACCACGATTTTGCCGCTTTCCGGAGCTGTTTTTTTTAAAAAAAAAATGGGCTTTCATGTGCGGTCCAGGGATTTTTTATGCGTTCCAGACAAAATGAGACATGCAGTATTTTTCTGGTCTCGAACGGACTGTGCTGGTCTGAACAGAGGCCAGAAATAGCGTAGGGATACATTGGGATGCATTTTGGGTCCAAAAACAATCTGGTCTGGAGATTGTGGTGTGAATGGGCCCTCAATGAGATAACGAGGTCACCAGCACACCAAGGGTCCAGTTCATCGATCCGTCTTTTATTGACGTTTAGATAAACATGGTGTTACAAGCAAATGCAAGATTTCAGAACCACATGCGGTCTATTCGCATTGTTTTGCCGGATGAAGGGGACCGCATGTGGTTCCGAAACGTTGATTTGCTTGTAACCCCATGTTTATCTAAACGTCAATAAAAGACGGATCCATGATCCTTGGTTCTTAAACTGGTCCCTGGAGCCTCTCTTCCTCCTCTGCAGCAGTCTAAGGTTCCTGAGTCATCATGTTCTATACACAGAGTGTATAGGATGTTAGGAAGCAGAGTGACATACCCATAGCTGCAGCAGAGGAGGGGACAGGCAGGAGGGAGCACTATGATAGTTCTTCTTTAAAAGCTTTGTAAGGTCCATTTCCTTGTTTAGGAGATTTTCATAGTTTGAGCTTCACCATCAAGTGAAGGGGAAACTAAAATGTTACCGTTAATGAAACGGAGAAGGACAAAGGAGACCCATTGTGACAACAACTCTTTAAGGTGGGATTTGTTTTCCTTTTCTGATTTGTCTCTGGAACAGGAACTGAGAGGAATGTCCCCAATGGAGACACAGATTGCAATGTCAAACCTCTGTCTGAAAGAGGTTCTAACCCTTCCCCACTTATCCAAATATAGTTTGGCTAAAGTTCCCTTTAAAAAATGATCACTTGATGTTCACGTGATATGAGCATTTTTATGGAAAAAGACTATTCATTTTGCATGCCTTAGACATTTGACAAAGTATAGAAGATGCATGTGATTAACCCATGTCATTTGTTTAGCCCATGTCATATGTTTAGGTTATGTCATGTGATTAGCCCATATCCTATACACCCACTTTGTTCTGTTGTGTACATTGTCATATTTCAAGGGCTATGGATGAAATGGACACAGCTTACAAGATGCAGACTGAGCTTTAAGCAATTGAATCGCTTTAATCTTCATGCTTTGAGGATTTTAAGCCTAATGGCCCTATCATATTTAATTGGCTGTGTAATTAAAACGGGTCTTTATTTTCTCTACTTCTGAAAGACTTCGCTGGAAGAACTGCATTAATATTGTGTACATGGCATTAGGTGCTGGTGTAAACGATTACTTTTCAAGTGTAAAGTAAATGTTACCCTTAATTGCCCCTTTTTTTTTTATTCGAGTATGCAGCCTGCCTGTAAGCATAATATCGCACAGTAATCACAAACTGCTGTTATGATCTTTTTGTGAGCCGCAAGCATTTAAAAAGCATTTGCATTTTGCAACATTCTGTAGCACAAGAATCAGTTTGGGGTCACTGATCTACATTTGCTGGCAGATTCTGTTTTTAAAAACAAACAAATCTCTCCAGTAGTTTTCAGTCCTGCAACTCCATGACAAGGAGTTTAGATCCTCTTGCTTTATTCTCTACAATGTAAGATATCTGAGAACGCCAAAAGGTATAGACCCTTTCACAAATGAAATCGAAGCTGGTCGGAGCATTAATACATTTGCTTGGAGGACTGAAGTCCAGCACAGAGATTCAACAAAACTTAAATGTAAAATCCTTGGAATAAAGCAGACATGATGACAATTTGATGCAGCCAGTTATAGCAGACTGATCTAAAGGAGCCCTTGGAGGGAACATTTGGTAAGTTATTGTTCTGCTCCAAAATTACCTTCTGCTGGCAGCCTGTGCTTATGGTGCTCACCCCCTTCTCCTTTTACAGGCACATTAGGGTAGCAGAGCCGATTCTGTGAGTTGGACTATTAGTAACGGCAGTGGGATCTCCAATCCAACTGCTACCTGCACTGTCACTGCCACCTTCTATAGTACACCCACTCATTGCTTCTATAGTGGATGAAAGACCTATTCACTTGTACAGGATGTAAAAGTTGCAACCAAGCCTTGCTATATATCCATTGGCACATATGTTAAGTGTATAACTTTGTGTATGCTTTGACACCATTTATGACTTCTAATTTAGTCACTTGTTGATTGCAGGAGCCAGCAGACCAGGGGTACTTTGGCTTGTTCTTGGCACTCTCAGAAGTGAGGAAGTCGATCCATGTCGGTAACCTGACCTTTCATGATGGATCTGAAGTTGAAAAACATTTGCTTTCAGATGTGATGAAGACCATAAAGCCGTGGTTGGCTGTGCTAATGGATAATTACAGGGTGAGTGTCCTACAGCTTCAAATCTCATTACTCAAAGTAACAATCATGGCATGACCAGTGGTGCTCTAAGTCCTGCGTGCTTAATGGCCTTTAAAATGGGATGAAAGGAAAATGCTTAACATCTCCTCATGTACCACAGCAGGAAAGGCTTCTGCGCAAATTAGGGGTTCACTGAATAATTACTGTTTGCTTAGACCATGAAAACATCACCTGGTGAAAAAAAAGAAATCAATGAACTGGCCACTAATGCTAATAACAGACTACAAAAGGCTATGACCTTTTGGCTGACCGGTTATTACAGAAATACTGCTAGTTTAATTTGGTTCCACACAAGCATTATAGTTCTCCAGAGTCTGGTATTTGCAGTACGACATTTCCAAGATCGCAGAACGTCTGAGGAATCAAATTAGGCAGTATAGCGAGCTAGGTTATGATGAGGTGGGTTAAGAGGGACCAATAATCTTCAACTATATCAGAGCAAAGCATTGTATAGATTTTCTAAAATGAAAGGAATCTGAATGCTTCTTACTATCACAAATCCAAAGGGATTTATTTGTGATTACTCATTACTCCAAATTACTCATTTTTGTATAGTGGGTGAGGCTATACAGGCCATTCCTTTTTACCCCTGGACCAGCTGTGCTTCCAGAATTGCTGGTGTATAGTAAAAAAACAACCTAATGTTCTAGAGATCTATATTGCATGCTACATGCAGCTATTTCATGCTTCTTGGTCATCAACAGTGTTGTGTATGGAAATCTTGGGGACCAAAAGCCATTTTAATCAAACAAGGGATAGATGTTCTATGTTTTGGATTTGTGATATGATGCATGGAGATTTCCTTCAGTTTTCAAAAGGCCCTATTCTGCTTCATACTGTTTTAGCGGAGGGCTTTTGACTGCTTCTAGTCCACCACACTAACCTTTTTGGTTCTGTTATATTGTTGGCCACCAAGCTGTACTCAATGGAAGCTATAGTTTCTACACACAGCACTTGTGATAGCAAATAGGCTTTATCAGTACTGTAAACCAGCTTCTCCCACTACCTTCAAATAAAATCCTTTATTTTCTAAGATACTTGTAAACATTTCTGGGTAATCGGGCAAAGGATATGTATAGAAATGATAGCGGTATGGTGGCTAAGTTGTTAGCATTTTTGGAATCCCATAAGGGACAGTGTCTGCATGTAATGTATGAATGTGCTCTTGTTTGCTTCGCTTTCTTCCGGGTGCTTTTGGCTTCTTCCCAAAGTCAATTACAGGTAAGTCAGTTGGCTTCCTCCTAATGACCCTATAGTGTGTGTGGTAGGTGCAATAGATTGTAAGCTCTTTTAGGGGACCTGACTGTTGTCTGGGACTACAAAGCACTGCATGTTGTGTTCACATTATATAAATACTGCATAGTGGTTAGCACTTCTGCCTTGAAGCACTGAGGGCTCCCGGTTTAAATCCCATGCGGGACACTATCTGCAAGGAGTTTGCATTTTCTCCCTGAGCTTGCATGGGTTTCCTCCTAAACTTCAGGCATGCTGGAAGGTTGATTGGCTCCTGTCTAAATTGGCCATAGTATGTGTGAGATAGGGGCCTTAGATTGTAAGTTCCTTGAGGGCAGGGATTTATGTGACTGTGCATTGCCTAAATTGTCAGCACTATAATAAATACTAGTAATAAATCCTGGATTTAAAGGATATGTTCACATTCTCACTAAATGTAAAAAAATGAACTTACCGTCCAGCACCCTGCCACCTCTCCTGGCCCCCATTGCACAGACCTGTGTGATCTTCTACCAGCACTCCCATAGCCCCTATGTTATCAAGAACACCTACAACGTTTTAATTTGTTCACCTTACAGAATAATGCTTAAGAGGAGACATGATCGCAATTTATAAACTCATAAATGGGGATAGCAATATTGGGAATCCACTTCTTAAACCAAGAACTTTGGGGGAGATGCGAGAGCACAACAAGATGTTGTTGGCAATGCTGCACAAGGGTTTGTTTTGTGTGGTAAAAATGTGGAATTCATTTTTCACAGATAGCTGTGTTGGCGGAGAACATTAACCGCTTTAAAAAACACTTGGGTGAGTTTTTCTCAGTTTACAAAACATAGCGGGTTGTTGGAATTCCTAGCAATAGAAACACACACACACACACACACCATATAGGTGGACTTGGTGGACCTGTGTCTCTCTCCAACCTCCCCTACTATGTAACTATTAGGGATGCACCAATACCGATACTAGTATTGGTATGTGTGCTAATACCGAGTATTTAGGCGAGTGCCTTGAGGAAACAGAGCCGGCTTCCCGGCCAATCAGGAAGCCGGCTGCAGGTAATGACTCGCGGCCCGGTTTTCTAACTGGCTGGGAAGCCAGCTCCATGCGGTTTGGCCAGCTCAATGCTGATTGGCAATGTACGTCCACCCGCTGGGAAGGGTTTGTTCGTCCGTATTTTTACGATGGACGGAAAGGGGTTCATTTCTGAACATGTGTTCTTTTAATTTTAGCTTCAACATATTCCCAGTGTTTTCTCCTTCTAAAACACTAAAGGCAGCAAATCTTCCTTTTATTGAGACTATCTGATCCATAAGTGATTTATAGCTGTGACTTTACCCAGAAAATTACTGTTCTGTAGCAAACTAATTAAATTAACTTCCAGCTGTCTAAAGAAAACTCTTGCCTGTTCTAGAAAGGCCGATTACCATGACCTTGTTCTGATAATTATCAGTGCATAGAAAATGACTTGGGTTCTGGAAAACCAACAAGTAATGTATTTTAATGAACCAGTGACCCGCTGCACTATTGAAGGTAAACATTATTCAAATTAAGAGCAAGGCTGGAAGGGCTAAAATTCTACATATATGGCAATTTGTAACAAGCCAAGCAAATCACCTTACAGAGGTCAGAAGTAATTGGTGGTTGAGTTACTGCAATTTTCTTTGTAATTTGCACTTTTCCTAATGGAACATACTAAGGGATTTAGTAAAAACTCACAGGACCTGATGGTCACAAAATCATTGGCCGATAAGTAGCAGAGTGTGTGTATGGCCACAGTTTTGGTTAGAGTAGGGAAGTCTGTGTTTTGTTAGGGAGATTTCCCTTTACTTCTGCCCTGGGGGCACAACGAAAAATGAGAGGCATTGCCCCAATTGTCTCTTGGACAGTTGTCACCATAACAGTTGTCCCCATTAGAAGTGAAACTTAGTGTGCATTAGAATCTGCAGCAAGTCAGATAGAGCCTTCCTTATTTCCTGGCTGAAGGACATCCAACTTCATCTATCCCTTTCCTGCCACTTTCATTTATTAGATTTCAGTACTTTCAATTATGGAAGCTCAGCATCACATGTGGCCATTACTTAAGGTGGCCAACATGCAAATGCAGCCTGTCTAGTCATGCCCACTTCTCCAGACTGACACCTGTGCCCATGAAGGCGCTTTAAAAAAAAAATTATTTTAAACTATTTATTTTACTATTATTTTATTAAAGTTTTTTTCACACTAACACAAAGATAAATCTGTTATTCAATAGATACAAGTACAAAAGTAAGATACAAAGGGTAATGTTATTATACTAGACATCCATGGACACTAAAACATCGGCATATATCAATCAATGAAAGCGGTCACTAACCCGGAAAATATAGTAAGTAGAGGAGTCCCAACAAGCTAATCCACCTCTAGCACCCCCAAGGTATTCGACAACTTGGCCTTCAGATACCATTCTGTATATTGAAACGGTTTTACAATCGAAATCACCTCTGTGGTAGAAAAGGATTTGGTCAAAATGTATCGCCATCTGCGAAAAAAGTACTTTTGGAATTTAGCGTCCAATCTTTCCTTACAGAGTAACAACTGTAGATCCTTAGTGACTTCCTGGATAGTAGGTGAAGAGGATGCATTCCATTGTCTCATGAGACATCTCCTCGCCGTGAGATCCCCACGCAAGAAGGTTGACTCAGACCATCCGATGGCAGAGAAAAGTAAACGCAATACCCTCTATTTATGCCCCGGCAAAACTACCCCACACAGGCACACACCAGGGGGCCACATTTGTATAAGACAGTATACAGGACCTGAAGCAGATAAAGAACATGGTAAAGCAGGCATTGGAATTAAATGGCATCAATAAGCAATAATACCCAATTTACCATTCTCAGCGTTTTCGTTGTTTCTGCTGTGTCCCTGCAGCGCTCTCGGATAATTTCATTGACTTGAGGAGATCGCAGCTGCAAAGGAGTAGGGGAGGGAGACTCAGTAGCTGTATCCATTTGAGATAAGAAAGAAATTGCCTCCATAGGATCCTGAAACAAACAGTGACATCCTCAAGGAGTTGTAAAGTGGAGTGTAGCTGGATACGCCAAGGTAAATCTGGTTCGCTTTTGGAATAAGGTGGAACACATTTTGTTGAAAGGTTTCCTCTTCTTTGCCACTTCCGCCGAAATTAGCAAAGAGTAAAAGACTATGGCCGCCCACCTTCAGTGATCTATCAGCACGGTATTTCTGTAAAATGCGTAACCTATCCGCATAGTTAAGGTAATGCGCTATAACTGGTCTGGGCAAGGTGGTGTCCTCCCTAGGATGTCATAGACGGTGAGCCCTTTCCACAACACGAGGCGATAGGAGTCCCAGGGCCTCAGGTACAGAGCGAACAAAGCTTGTCCAGTACACCGGGCTTGTATGATTCCGGGAGACCCACAATTCTCAAATTTACGTCGGAACGATTTTCTAGAGCATCAATTTTTTCCTGCAGTGTGATAGTCTTTTACATGGAGAGCTGAGACTGCGCCACCAAAAGATCATCCTCCAAGCCTCTTTAAGAGCTCTAGCATGTGACGAGAGATCCTTACAGAGCTCCTTACAGAGCTGTGCAAGACCGTGCTGAATAGCAGTTTCCACCACAGCAGTGATAGTGGGTTTAAGCAGCCTGGCCACAGGCGTAGCTATCCCTGCATCAGCCGGATCATCAACCCCATCTATGGAAGAAACTGGAGATGGGCTGCGCC